AATTGAACTATTATCTGTATGATTAAATGTGAACATAATAGAATAATAATTACCCTTTGCTCACATTTCAAATCTTTTCAAATGAAATTGTCCTATACAGTTTTTTATACTGTGTGATGATTTTAATCACCTTGTAGTCCACATAACGAAATATGGCACAAGTCAAGAGCTGTGTTCATAACTACCCTTTATAATGGTTGGTTCTTGGTTTTAAGATCCTATCTTGTTCTTTCGTAAATGTCAAATTTCCACTTCTCTTTTTGTTTTGATATGGAAACTCCCAGCCTTTTGATAATGGTTAGAGTTCTTATTTTATTTCGTGACACCCAGCCATTTTACCCAGGTGGCATTTTAAACTAATGAAGTTCAAGTTGATTTTAAGAATTGTAGCGATCCTTCTGCAAAGAACTAGTGGCAACAAGGAAGTTTGCCCAAACCACAAACAGTAATCACTTCTTCAGTTTAGGTTAGCCTAAAATGAATGCCTCTTTGTTGTTGCTATTGTATTTTGTAGATGAAATGTGTTTCAAAAAGAACAATGTGGGCAAGAAAATGAGTAAAACCAACATTTGTGGGTGTTTACTAAGTTCTGGGCCATTTTTGTCGGACATTTTTGTATATCAAATTATTTAATCTCTCCCACCCACAGCAATACATACAGTGCTCTCATTTTCAAGTGAGGAAATAAAAAAACTGAAAGGTGTTCAAGGCTGTCCACCTCCTAAACTTCCAAGCTGGCATGGAAAACCAGGCCCCTGGGATTCTCAGGCTCAGGCTCTATCCATGCACCTTGCTGTCCCCCCTCCCCGCAACTGGGTCCACCAAGACTTGGCAGTGCAGTGCTATCACAGCTCAGCAGGGCTTCCAAGCATTTGATGAGGACGTTCCCCAGCACAGGACATGCCACACTGTAGGATTCACATGTTATAGTCCTATGGCTTACTCTGTTTTAACTCTTAAAACAGAAAGGTTGACTAGAAAATATCCACCGAGTGCCTAAGCCTCACTTAGTTAAATCTCTCTAGAAAGGACCTGAAACAGGCCCTAGGGAAATTTACAATCAGGCAAAAGAACTGTTAAAGTCTGAGTGAGAAAGAGCACAGGGAAGTGGAAAACGATACCGGCAAGAACACATTTCAACTGAACATGGTGCATTTGTCATAAGCAGGGGACCTATTGGCTTTCGAAGCTTCCTAATGCTCTTTCTCCTCACTTGAGCCTGTGTGTTTAGAGAGGTTTGTAGGATGTTGGGATTAGGGCTCATTTAGTTTCTCCTTTACCAATAAAGACAATGAGTCCTGGTGAGAAAAGGCAACAACTCCCATCTCCCTTTCTCTTCAAGAATTGACCATTTCTTCCAACTGATTCATACATGTGAAGTCTTGTCTACTGCAGAATATAGCAGTGTGCCCTAGATGTTTGCCATAGACATATCCACACAATAACATCTGGGGCTTGGAGTTTAGGCTCTAGGATAATGCATTAACAGCTGAATTCCTTGTCAAACTCCAGCCTCTGCCATTTGCTACCTCTGATTCCTCCTGGAAGTTATATAACCTCTCCAAGCTTTACCTTCATCATCTTATAAAAAGAATTCTTCCTTTAATGTTGTGTTGTAAAGAGTGAAATGCATTAGGCACATACAATATTTAGCATGGCTCTTTGTATGCAGGCGTGACCCTTCCTGATGACTGCAGTTTATAAATCTCACTGGTGGTGATTAATTCCATTTGATCCAAGGCCAGAGTTTAAAGTACATTAGCATCCCAAGAAGTGATAGTTTAAGGAGAAGTAAGTATGTGTGAGTCATGTGCATGTAGTGTCCTCAGATGTTGAGCCAGTGCAGTAGTGGATTCATATAAATAATAGAATCAAGAGACCACACCAAAAATAATGAACCCGTCTTGACTTGGATATTTGCCTTGGCTAACTAGTTTTCTTCCTCTTCCTCAGTCTGTCTCTCCTTGTGAGACTAGAAATGGAATTATAAAACTCCTTTAGGTATCAGCAAACCTCGTTAATGTTTATTTGCAAAGAAGGAAGGAGAAAGATTTTGACTATTCCTGTAGAAGCTCCTAGAAAGCCACTTCCAGCTAGGAATAGAGGAATCGATCATATCAGCTGGAAAATTTGCTTTCTGAACCTAAGGGCAGCAATTAACACAGATGGTGTGATCTTATTGTAATTCAATAAGAATAAGAATATATTGAGTGTCAATAGTGAGATGAATGTTATTAGTCACCTATAAATAATATAGAGAGATTAATCATTCTTGCCCTTAAACACTTGCCAGTCCAGCTTATGGATGGGTAATGTAAGCCCAAATTTTAGGGCATAAAACAAACACAGCTTCCCTTTAGGAGTGTGTATGTACTGTTTTGAGTGTTAGGCTCCAGCTCTCTCTTCTCTGCTGTGGTGGAAGTATTCAAGGGATATTAATCTGTCTTGGAATATAGTCAAAGGTTGCCAATAGAATTGCTACACCTATCTATCTGTCTGTCTGCCTGCCTGCCTGTCTGCCTGCCTGTCTGTCTGCCTGTCTGTCTGTCTGTCTGTCTGTGTGAATACTGGGGTTTGAATTCAGGGCTTCGTTCTCTTGATTTCCTTTTTTGCTCAAGGCTAGAACTCTTACCACTTGAGCCACACCTCTACTTCTGACTTTTGGTTGTCATTGGAGATAAGAATCTTAACAGAATTTCCTGCTTGGGTTGGCTTTGAACGTCTATCTTCAGATCTCAACCTTCTGCGTAACTAAGATTACAGGCATGAGCCACCAGCTTCTGGCTTAGATTCTTTTTCACAGAACCTAAAAACCCATGTTTCCAAAGATGCAATTGTTGGATGTGAAGGGTAAACAAAGGAGGAGGCTGCAATGCTTGATAAGAAATGTACCCATTATCTTGCCCATGTAATTGTAACCCCTCTGTACAGTATGTTCACAAAAAAATAAAATAAAATAAAGAGAAAAAACAAAAAAAACAAAGATGCAATTGTTGGAATTTCATTTAAGGGATTTAAAATAGTCTCTATTAAACAACAATAACATTAACCATTTTCTTAATTGTCCCACAAACATTTTTTAATCTGGTATTTAAAATAACCTTGTGAAGAAAGCATCGTTATTTTCAGTCAGAAGTAGAGCAGCAGCTTGAACTGGCTGTCCAAGTCCAAAAGGTATTGAGGAACTACGGTGGCAGTCCAGGGTCTTTCTGTGACATCAGGGTAACTGGCCAGCAAGTAAGTGATGGGGCTGGGAAGGCTTTCTTTCTGGCAGAGCCAGTCCTGGGCCACACAGCGACAACAATGACAAGTGGTTTTTGCTGAGACCCTGAGCCTGCTCAACGGCTACTCTTGATTTACATGTCACTGCTTTCATTCTGACTGTAAAACTGTCACTGAGCCCTTCTTATATGACTGGATTTGTTCTCAAGCAGGGCTGCACTGGCAAAGGAGATCACAGACAATGTGTAAGAGCAGGGCTGAGGACTCTGAGAATGGCGAAGCCATTTTTTATTGTGACATCAATGCTACTGAGCTACAAAGACAGGGGGGTGTGAGTGTGTGTGGGGGGGGATCAGGGTTCTCATTCCAACCTCATCTGGCTTTTAGCAACATACCTTCTTTTATGCTTGCACATGACCTGGGCCTGCATACCTGAAAGTATGGGTCAGTTTTTACAATGAGCCATTGTACATAGACTAGCAGTATAAAATGGTGTGTATATGTGTGTGTGTGTGTGTTTGTGTCTGTGCATCAAACAGCTGTATTAGGAGTTTCTAATACTCAGAAGGTATTTTTCTTTCTCTCTCTTTGCCTTTATTCAACATCTATACTTTTTACCATCTTTGAAATCATCTTTTCAAAGATACTACTTGAGGAAAATATCACCCTCTCTCCACCCTGCCCTTTCAACCTGCTATTCATTCACCCTATTTCATTCATTATTTTTTCATAACAGCTCTCCCACCTGAATTTTTCCCCATCGTTTTGCTCCTCTCTAATTTGGAATGCAAGCTGTAATAATCCCAGAGCTGAGACAAATGCCTGATACACAACAGGGCAACATAAATGTTGTATTAGTGAATGGCTGAATTATTTGCCTCTCCTTCCCTGTCTAGTACACTCTTGGATGCACCTGCCAAACGAAAGACAGTGAGATTAAAAGCAAGAAGCCATAGCAAGGAAGAAAAAAAAAAGGGCTTTAGTTTTGATTCTTTATAGCCAAAATTTCTAGTTTCTGATTGACTAATCCCTGGGGGAAGGTTGCAGAAGGGGAAGTGTCTAATGGCACATTCTTTAAGCCTCTGAATGAAGTTCTCTGGCCTCAAGGTCTCAGTCTCCGGAATTGAGCCCTTAATCTGCCTGGTCCCTTCCGGCAGATGGATAGGGAGACCTTTGTTAGATGAGCCTGTCTCTGGCCTTCCCACTCAGGAAAAGCAAAAGCTCCCTTTAGTTAAGTTTAGTGGTAGAGAGAATGGGGAGTGCGCTCTGAGTCTATTTTCTGAGATGCACTACTCCATCACAAGTTTGTTCTGGGATGGCTGGGTAATAAGGAAATGGAAGAGGTCTCTGTATGTCCAGGCATTTTGTGTATGTTTATTTTCATGGTTTTTATAAAGCCCGCTTTAGTGATTGCTCAAGATCTATACCTAAGAGCAACTTCCCCTAGGAAAGTGTTCCTGAATATTCTATAAAACACATTCTCCTGTGGCTTTCAGAGGCCGACATCCTGCTTTGCTCACCTTCTACCACTGGTCTCATGGCCCTGCTTATTTAAATGACTATCTCCATCACGAGGAGACCAAGAATGATGTTTCAAGCTTATGTTTCAATGCCCAGCTTAAGTATCTGTCTATGTTTGGTAGTTCATGAATGTTAAAAAAGTGAGTAAGTGAATATGAAAAAAGGGACCACAACCCAAGTGGGGCTGTCCAGTTTGCATCCAGATCTTCCTTCTAAGGACCCTCTGTGATTATTTCTGTCCTTTCATCTTCATTCAGGTACTCTGATTGTCCTGAAACATCCCTATCCAAGGAAAGTGGAAGAACCTTCCATCTATGAATCGGTACGGGTTCACACTGCCATGCAGACAGGAAGGACGGAAAGTGACCTCGTGCCCACAGCGCCTTCTGTAAGCAACCACTGGTCTGACCAAAAACTCTCTGATTGTCTGAAAGCCAGCAGGTGAAATAAGGTTGATTGTCCACCCGTGTGCATAAAAATCTAGCTTGGGATATAAAATTTGGAAAAGAATGTATCTGAAGGCCGCAATCGCATTGCAGTAAATAGAGTAGAACAGAAAAATAATTCAGTGTTTGGGTTGGGAAAGGTGGCTCAGTGGTAGAGCATTTGCCTAGCATGCAGGAGGCCCTGGGTTCAAGGCTTATCAGCACACACACACACACACACACACACACACATTTTAGTGATATAACTTAGAAAACAACACTTAAATCTCTCTGTCTTTAAATGGCCAAGCAAGTTAATGGTAGAATGGTGACAGATGTGTCCACCTAGTTGACTAAATAGTTGTTCTTTGACAAGCTTCTTAAATTGAGAAAAAAAAATTATTTCTTTAACATTTCAACTGTTCATGGAAGAATTTTCTGGCTTGACTATAGGAACTGGTGGGTGTTTTTGTTGGTTTTTTTTTTCTCCTAGCCTTTTCTCCTTTACTGACTGAAGTACGCAGCTGGAAACCTTTGCATGTCTTTGTGTTCAGTTTCAGTGTGAGTGGGGTGCTCATAGTTTTCCCCAGAGTCCATTTATACTTACCTGTGTACCAGGACCTCACACATTCCCATCTGGTACTCGTCCCCTTATCATTGTTGGGCTCTCTTTCTTTCTGTTTATCTTTGCTGGCCAATGACTCCTACTATAAGAATCCTGAATATAGGAGGAGGATGAAGACAACAATCAAATGAACTCAAGAGTGAATTCTGAATAGAAAGCATTATATTTGGAAAATAATCACTAGCAGAAACTCAGCTATCACCATTCTACCATTAACTTGCTTGGCCATTTAAAGACAGAGAGATTTAAGTGTTGTTTTCTAAGTTATATCACTAAAATGTGTGTGTGTGTGTGTGTGTGTGTGTGTGTGCTGATAAGCCTTGAACCCAGGGCCTCCTGCATGCTAGGCAAATGCTCTACCACTGAGCCACCTTTCCCAACCCAAACACTGAATTATTTTTCTGATTTACTCTATTTACTGCAATGCGATTGCAGCCTTCAGATACATTCTTTTCGAAATTTTATAAGACAGTTGTCAGCTGGGCACCAATGGCTCTCACACCTGTAATCCTAGCTACTCAGGAGGCTGAGATCTAAGGATCATGGTTTGAAGCCAGTACAGGCATGCAAGTCCATGAGACTCTTACCTCCGATTCACCACTCCAGAAGAGGGAGCTGTGGCTCAAAGTGGTAGTGCTAGCCTTGAGCAAAAAGAGCTCAGAGACAATGCTCAGGCCCTGAGTTCAAGCCTCATAATTGACTAAATAAATAAGTAAATAAATAAATAAATGTGGAAATTGAGAAAGATATTCTGGTTTTATTAGGATTAGAGGAAGAAGCCTCAGACCTTGGAATTAGAAAAATTTAGGAAAGTAATGTGATAAGTAGTCCAAGTCAGAAAAGACCTAAGACAAGATCCAAACCTATATTCTATACCATTCTTGTTTCTCAGTCAACTAGTCCCATCATTGTTTCCTGTTTACTCATCCTTCACCCTCCACCGATCACTGCAACGTCCTTCTCCTCTCCACTCTCTGTTTAACTTCACATTGTCCTCTGTTACACTTCTAAAGATCTGCACTCAAGGGCAATCAGACTGTGGCCTTCACGTGTGTCCTTTATAGAGAGTAAAATGCAGATAATACCTAATCTGTAGACTTGATATGCACCTCAGATATAGCATAGCTTCAATGGAAACAGGCCATTTTTCAACCTAATTCTAGAAAGCCTTGTTATTTACTTCTTTGCTCACTTCAAGAAATCAGATGGAGTCACCGGCCTATGTATCTAAACACTGACATAGAGAGAAGGGTTTTGGTTGAGTGGAGTTTTTAAATCATGGAAGAGTGCTTCATGCTACATGAAGTTTATTGTGCAAATATACAGACAAAAGAATTTGCTTGCTAGTAGATTCTGACTAGTGATCTTAGTCTTCCTGGATGGCTAGAAGAGTAGAGCTGAGGAAAGTGTTCCAGTCTGGTTAGAAAACTTGTCTCTAGTTGGGTGCTGGTGGTTCATGCTACTCAGAAGGCTGAAATCTGAAGATCGTGGTTCAAAGCCAGCCCGAGCAGGAAAGTCCAGGAAACTCTTATCTCCAGTAAACCACTCAGAAAACCAGAAGTGGTGCAGTGGCTAAGTAGTAGAGCGCTTGCCTTGAGCTGAAGAGCTGAGGTACAGCGTTCCAGCCCAGAGTTCAAGCCCCATGACCTATAGAAAAGAAAAAAAGAAAAAGAAAACTTGTCTCTTACTGAATATAGGAAAGTCAGCCTCCATTCATTTTCCCAAGTAGCCACACAGTGCACTGAGAGCTCTCAGGAAGTTGTCTTCTGCTTTCTCTTTGGACATGTAGTTCTTGCATAATCACTGTTACCAGAGGAAGAGAATGCATTGATATTTATAGGAAAAAGAACTTAGTTGCAGCCAAAAAAAAAAAAAGATGTTCCATTGTGTAAAACTATTGAGCATCTTTAGAAACTGCATTTGGGGACATTACTATGTTTGGACATCAACTGATCGTTGTATTCCTGGAATAAGATGAAATTCAAGTAATTTACTTGTTAAATAATAACTTTTAAGTGTTTACCATGCCCAGAGCACTAAGCACTAGAATTAGGTAGGAAATTAAGCAAAGGTCTTCCCCTTAACAAGCATCTGTTCTAGTGAGGAGTCATACATAGACAGTAATCAACCTAGTATTTGAATACCAGGGAGTAAAAGTAAAGGGTAAGGGAGAGAAGGGAAGTGAGAAAGGCCTCTTGGAGGAAACATTTGAGCGGAGATGTCACTGAAAGGGAGGAATCATACTACCATGAGGACATCCCTCTTATCCATCCATTCATCCCTCTGTGTGCTCACACCAGTACTTCCAATCCTTATGCAAAATCCATAAGAGGCATTCTAGCCATTTCCCTTTTCATAGACAGCTAACAGTGGGGATTATGGATCTCATTATTCTCAATGTATATCGATATCTATCCTTATATTGTCATTAGTTGAATGTAAGCAATTGACAGTTGCTCTTCCTGCTACCCATCATAACGCTCTACCCCGTCACCCAACTCATGCTCTGAGTTCCAGTCACTGCCACCCCAGCTCACAGTAGATGCCACCTTCCCACCTGGTCTCTGAAACTGTGCACAGGGTGCCACCTCCACCCCTGTAGTCAGAAACCCTCCTCAAGAAGCCCTGATCAAAGCTTGGAGCTGGTGGCTTGCACTTGAAATCCTGGCTACTCACGAGGCTGAGATCTGAGGATCACAGTTCAAAGCCCAGCCAAGAAAGGAAAGTCCATGAGACTCTTATCTCCAGTGAACCACTACAAAGCCAGAAGTAGAGCTGTAGCTCAAGTTGTAGAATTCTAGCCTTTACTAAAAGAACAAAACAAACAATGAACAACAAAAACCCAAGGAATAGTACTTGCACAGTGCCTACCTTGTTTTAGTCTACCCAAAGTCTTCTGACCACATTTAAAGCAAGCAACCAGGTAGGCTAGTAGTATATTTTTAAACATTTGGGTTGTATGCACTTGGGCCCTTACAAACATCTTTCCTGTTGCAGATCATGAATTTGTTTCAAGATAAATCTACAGTGTAATTGCTTCATTTCTTAAGTCCTGGATAGAATGAAGACGCAGTTCTTCTATATGAAGACTTCACCAACAAAACCATAGAAAATCCTAGGCTCATAATATGTTGTTTGGAGGGAAATTATATGGCTGAGTTGCATTGTTCCTTGATTTTCGTGCCTATTTTTTTTTTTTTGCTAGTCCTGGGGCTTGAAAACAGGACCTGAGCTTTGTCCCTGATATTCTCTGAGCTCAAGGCTAGCACTTTACCACTTGAGCCACAACATCACTTCTGGCTTTTTTTGTTTATGTTGTACTGAGGAATTGAAAGGGCTTCATACATGCTAGGCACTCTACCACTAAGCCACATTCCCAGTCCTTAGTGCCTAATTCTATGAAGGTCTTTTATCTAACAATTTATCCTTAATTATTTTATCTTTATGGACAACACCAACTGGTAATTTGGCCATTTTAATATAATGCCTAAGTTCAACTCAGTGAATTTAATTTTGTAAACACTAAAATAAATCAAATTGACCAATATTGCTTAACATTATTTAAAAGAACATCTGGAAGTTTATACTTACTTTCATGACATAAGAATTTTTCTTCTTTTTAGCGTTACATAGCCCAAGCTATGAACTGTCAATCTTCCTGCCTCTGTCTTCGTAGTGAAGAGGGTAACAGGTGTATGCCACTATGCCTGACCCTATGCTGTAAGAATTTTTAAGTGGTTGTATAATATTTCTTGTTTCAATTCTTTGTACAGTTGTTCCTCTTTTTATTCAGTAGGAAGAACTAGTCTTAGGGAAAAAAATACTCTGGAAACTCCCATAAAAAGAACCTTGATGTCAGCCAAGTCATTTCCTAGTTTTAATTCATTTTATTTTTACTTACAAATAAAGCATTCTGCGTCATTTTTAGAACAAGATATCCTACTAGGAATTCAGTTTCCTTAGAAATTTATGGCATTACAAGTTTCTTGATCTTGATGGTCCTTGTCTTTTGCAGATTTCTATTCAACACAGCTCTCGAGGTTCATTTTAAGGCATAGGTGTTAAGGATGTGTGTGCTAAAATATTGCCTACCACTTGAGTCAGTCCTCCAACCCAGAACACTTGGCAGCAGTGCCCTCTGAGAAGGCAGAGCCTCAATCCAGTGCCCTACCCTGCTCAGCCACACTCTTGTCTTTACTTACAAATTAATGATTTGTGAGTTGAAGAAATACCTCAAATCTCTCTCTCTTTTTTTTTTTTTGGTCACAAGGCCTAAACTCTGGGCCTGGCCACTGTCCCTCAGCTCTTCAGCTCAAGGCTAGTGCTCTACCTCTTGAGCCACAGTGCCATTTCTGGATTTTTCTGCTTATGTGGTACTGAGGAATCGAACCTAGGGCCTCATGCATGCAAGGCAAGCACTCTACCACCGAGCCACCTTCCCAGCCCTATAATCTCTTTTGAATAAATCAGGTATAAATAAACTTGCACTTCATAGAATTAATATTAGCCAGTAGGCAGTGGGGGAAATTGAGATTGAGTGTAAGGATGGGAAGGAAGACGACTATGTGATTAAAAATAAGAAATGCTCCAAGTTTCCCTCTTCATATGTATATATATATATATATATATATATATATATATATATATATATATATATATTTGTCACGGGGCTGGAGCTCAGGGCCTGGGACCTGTCCTTGGCTTTTTCACTAAAGGCGAGCACTCTACCACTTTGAGCCACAGTGCTACTTCTTCCCTCTGAAAATTTTACAAGGCATATAGCAAAGGACAAATTCTGGAATGATCTGAAGCAAAGAATCTTTCTTAATTCAGTTTCCCATGTGTATAGCCACCCCTCTGAATTTGTAAGGATGGTGCTAAGACCCCATGTGGATACCCCTGTCCTCCATGCCCGAGTTCCTCATGTCAAATGGCACAGCACTTGCATAAACCTGCACATTTTCTGTGTACTCTGAGTTTCTCTAGGTTACTTACAACACTTAATACGGTATAGATGCTATGTAAATTATCAGAATAATTTTTGAATAGTCTATATGGGTTCTGCACAGATGCAATTCTTTTCAAACTTGCTTTTTTTTTGGTTGGTCATGGGGCTTGAACTTGTGGCCTGGGCACTGTCCTTGAGCTCTTTTGCTCAGGGCTAGCACTCTATCACTTTGAGCCACTTCCAGTTTTTGAGTGGTTAATTGGAGATAAGAGTCTCATGGGGACTTTTCTACCCAGGCTGTCATTAAACCCCAATCCTCAGATCTCATCCTCCTGAGTAGCTAGGATTACAGATATGAGTCACTGATGTCTGGATCCTTCCAAACATTTTAAATACCTTTTTGGTTGAATCTAAGGGTGTCAAAGTGGTAGATATTGAACACTAACCATGGGTATTGATCACAGATGGGTATGTGTTTGTGTAAATAACCCTGCCACAATACAGGTTGCCTGCATAGTGCATTTCATTTATTTATTTTTTGGTGGTTGTGGGGCTTGAACTTGGGGCCTAGGAACTAGTGCTAGCTCAAGGCTAGCACTCTATCACTTTGACCCACAGCACCACTTCCTGTGTTCTGGTGGAGATAAGTCTCACAGACTTATCTCCTGCCTGCCTGCCTGCCTGCCAGGGCTGGCTTTGAACTGTGATCCTCAGATCTTAGCTTCTTGAGTGGGTAGGATTACAGGTATGAGCCACCAGAGCCCAGCCCATGGTGCACTTTAACAAGCACTACCTTTCATAAGTGGAGTGATGTGGTTTATTGTTTACAAATTGCCAACAAGCTAGTAAAGAACCTTTTCATCACTTCCTGTTGCTATGGAAAGACATCAGATAATTCAGTCTGTAAATAGTGTCTCATGGCAGATGGAAAGTGCTAAGCACCTAAGTGAAGAGTGAAAGATCATCCAGAGAGCAGAGACAAACTCGGTCTTCATAAAATGGGACAGAAGGGCTGGGATGTAGGTCAGTAGCAAAATGTTTGTCTGCCATGGGTGGGGCACTGCAGTAAATACTACAGTAATACTAGTGATGCAAAAACAGACATCATGTTGCAACTGTTCTAAGCTTTATTCTAGCTTCTTTTCTTCTTTCAGCTGGGCACAAAGGAAGGCTACCTCACCAAGCAGGGAGGCCTGGTCAAGGTAAGGAAGTGTGGACTGGCTCATGCCAACCACAAAAAGTACATGCTATGTAGATTCAGTTCTCATCTTTACTACTGCTTGCAAACAACTGCCAACTCATTACAATATTTACTTATTTCAAGAGTTCATTTTTAGGACTAATAAGTCAGAATTCAATGAAATGACTTGGGAGTAGCCTCCAGTTAATGTTCATGAAAATATGTAATTCTTTTAATGGAAGGAATTGGGAATACTGGGAGTAAATTAGTACATTTCTGTTCTGTCTTTTAAAAAAAAACAGAGTTGTATATGATGTCTACCAAAAGGCATGCCAAAACCAGCTCTGGCACTACGTTATAAATCCCAAAGTTAATATAGTTTAGGACTTTATAAGTCCAGTCTGTCCATTTGCCCCTCCCACTTGTGTGATTGTACCTATAAAGCATTTCTATTTTAACAAGTCATTGATCCTTGGTGCCATGTGTCTGTGACTTTAGGAGTAGGATACTTGATCTGTCTCTTTGAGACTTGACTGGTTGGATCTAATGTGAACATAATGTTCACATAATAATTCTTTGTGTCTCTACTAGATTCAATGTCCTCTGAGAATATGGGATATTCATATTCATAGCATTAAAATTTTTTTATTGTTTTGTCAGTCCTGGGGCTTGAACTCTGGGCTTGGGTGCTGTCCTTGAGACTCTGTGCTCAATCAAGGCTAGTGGTCTACCACTTGAGCCACAAGCACCACTTCTGGTATTTTCTGTGATTAATTGGAGCTAAGAGTCTCCTGGGCTTTCCTGGCTGGGCTGGTTTCAAACAGCAATCCTCAGATCTCAGCCTCCTTAGTAGTAGGATTATAGGTGTGAGCCACCAGGGCCTGGCTCATTCATAGCTTTTTTAAAATTTGTTTTTGGGGGACAGGGTTTCCTTTCTGGTCTCAATCTTACCTTCTTACTACATCCGCCTCTTACTGCTGAGGTTACAGGCATGAGTCAGCATGTCTGCCCAGCATATTTATTCTTTAAAAATTTTAATTATTATTATAAAGTTGATGTGCAGAGAGTATATTTATTTATTTATTTTTATCAGTCAATGGGACTTTGAACTTAGGGTCTAGGCGCTGTCCCTAAGCTTTTTTGCTTAAGGTTTGTATTCTACCACTTTGAGCAATAGCTCTAATTTTGGTTTCTGAGTGATTCATTGGAGATAAGAGTCTCACCAGGGACTTTTCTGCCTGGGTTGGCTTCAAACCAGGATCCTCAAATCTTAGCTTCTTAAGTAGCTAGGATTAAAGGCCTGAACTACCAGTGCCTGGCACATATTTATTCTTAAATATTCTGGGGGGGCGTTGGTGTTTTTTTAAACTGGTACATTGCCACCCCCAGAATAGAATATCATGTGGTTTGTTTCTTAACTTCAATTGGCTTGTTTGTAGGTAAAAATAATTTTGACATATCCATGGATGAGCTGTTTATGTGTATGCATATATGAATGTAAATATAAATTTTACATATATACATTTTCAAAGAAATACATATACTTTTCCCCAGGATAAATGTAATTCACTGTAGATGCCTCAAAACACATTCATTTTTATTATCATAGTTAATAACATTTGAATGATATGCTACTTCTCTTTACTTCTTTAAATAACCTCATGACATCTCTATTATGAGCTTGCTTAATCATGGAATAATGTTTATAGATATTCTGAGTTGGTTTTTTGTTTTTTTGTTGTCAGTTGTAGGGCTTGAACTCTGGGCCTGAGTGTTGTCCCTCAGCTCTTCAGCTTAAGGCTAGCGCTCTGCCACTTGAGCTACAGGGCCACTTCTGTTTTTCTGGTGGTTTACTGGTGATAAGAGTTTCACGGACTTTCCTGCCAGGGCTTGCTTTGAACTGCGATCTTCAGATTTCAGCCTCCTGAGTAGCTAGGATTACAGGCGTGAGCCACCGGAGCTTGGCTCTGAAAGTTTTTTCATCAGAAATGATACACTAGATTATGTTAAGGCTCAGTTTATATAATCTTTTCAATATTTTTAAATTAAAATACATCATCTAGTTTAGACATTGCATTTCTGTATTTTACATCTTGTATGTTGTCATTATTTTTTCCCTTAGACCTGGAAAACAAGATGGTTCACTTTGCACAGGAATGAACTCAAATACTTCAAAGACCAAATGGTGAGATACATGTTAGTAATTTTTCCTTTAAAATTCCTCTCCAGAATGAACAAATGCAGCAGTGGTAGTCACTAGACACTATGTTGAAAAGGAACTATACAACTTGTGGGGAGGGATAGGAGGGAAAAACTGGGAGAGAGCAAGGGAAGGGGTAACATTGTCAAAAAGAAATGTACTCATTACCTGACTCTCTACCTCTGTATATTAACTTTATCATAACAATAAAAAAAACCCTAAAACTAAATCACCTCCCCAGAGGAAAGGAACATCTGCCTTTAATGTCCCCACAAACTTTCTTCTGTGCTCCTGAAAGACTAAAATCACTAGAGATGCAAGGGAGTTTTTTGTTTTGTTTGTGTGTCAGTATTGGGGCTTGAATTCAGGGTCTTGTGCTCTCATTTGGCTTTTTTGTTCATGGCTGGAACTCTACCACTTAAGCGGTGCTTTCTAGTTCCTTTCCCTGGGTCAACTGGCGATAAGAATCTCTTAGATTTGAGCATTCTGGTGACTACAGTCCAAAGCCTCAGGTCAGTCTCCTGAATAGCTAGAATTGTAGGTGTGAACCAGATGGGAGTTTGATTCCTGATTGGAGCAGTGTTCCTTTGCTAAATATGGACGCCAAGAAATTTCTGTCCTGGGCTAAAGTTCAGCTTTGTTCAGGAGAATGGAATTTTTCTTTAAAAAAATTTTTTTTAATTATTCTTTTGAGAGAGAGACCCTTATTTCTTCTTTCCCTGGAACAGTTTCCCCCTTTATTAAAAGTGTCCATTTCTTATGCCCATTTCACTTACTTTTTTATTTTTGCTTTCCTTACACACGATTTCTGACCAAGTAGAGGTCTTAAAAAAAAATATGAGAAAAAAAATGAGACTTTCCCTCCATGTGTTAAAAATCTGTCTCCACTAAATGTAAATCTGTAAAGGCAATGTGTTTCTACTGTTCAGTTTCAGGAATGACTATTGGCATACCCAGGAACCACATGATGTCCCTTCATAAGGCTGCCCACTCGCAGAGCTGCTGGGGGGGAGGGAAATGAACATTTCTACATGGTAGAAAGCTTGCAAGGGAGTATGTGGTGGATACATTTGTGTGTTTCTTTCTGTGACATTTTTCTTCTTCTTTTTTTCCTCCCTTTTTTAAAGTCACCAGAACCAATTCGGATCCTTGACCTAACAGAGTGTTCAGCTGTACAATTTGATTATTCACAGGAAAGGGTAAACTGTTTTTGGTAAGTTGCTTTTCATAAAGGTCATTTTTTTCCTCTAGTCTTCTTATCTGGCTTTTATTTTAGCTGAGAAATGAAAACATGAGTGTCTTCATGTCTACAATGTGTGGTTCTGAGGGACACATACTTGGCCCACCACACAGGTACACGTTAGAAGTTTATTCAGCTGCCTGTGACACAATACCTCCTTTAGAGCAGTTTAAACAGAGGCAAGTTGGCTGGGTTAAGTTGTACACTGAACAATGAAGACAGACATTCAGCCATTCACATCTTAGACAGCTTTATGCCTCTTAGGTTTTCCTCTTCATTTTAATTCTAATTTTGTTGGCTCCATTGATGTGTTATTTACAATGTTATGACACAGAAATGTATTATTATTCTAATACAATCTGTATAACATGACCATTTTCTATCCGGGACAAGTGTCTTAAGATGCACTGTATCCATAAACTGCTTTGGTGAATGGCAACTCCATATTCAAAAATAAATAATGAAAGGAGTGTCTATTACCAGCCAGGTTTTAGAGTTTTACAAGCAAGAAGACTATACCATCAATCCTTTACCAGCTGCTTCAGTAACTTGCACTATTTGCTTTATCTTTGTACCCACAATTTCTGGAAGAAATGGAAAGCAAGTTGCATTATGGCATTTTACCCCAAATGACTTAAGTATGTATCCCCTGAGCATAAGAATATTATCTGTGTAACTACAGAATCATTATTACACCAGCAAAAACCAACTATAATTCTGTAACATCAACCAACAATGGCGAGCTGTTTCAAACTCAACCCAATGCACCATATGAGCTGGCAGAGGTATATTTTCCTTAGAAGAGCTTGAGAAACTGGCAGCCTCCATGATAAGATCAGGCTGAGTGTGTCTACACTTTTTCAGGTCTTTCCTCGTGTTGGTTACTTCTGGTCCCAGTGGCTACTGCAACTTTAGATCTCATGCTTTCATAGCATGAAGAAAGATGTAGAAATGTCCTCAGCCATGTCTATGCTTTTTGTTTTTAATCAGGAAAGCCAGGGTCTCGCTGGAAACTTCTTCATCCCCTTATCTCTGTGGCTACCACTGGTTATCTTTAGGCAAGGGAAGGTTAGGAAGAGCAATAACATAATCATGATTTGCAGAAGTAATTATGATTTATTGCCTGGGGTTCTATTAGCAAAAAGAAAGGGAAAGCAATCCATATAAATGGGGAATTAATGGTGTTTTCACAGGGAGACAATTCCAGAAGCTATTCACAATACTCCTTTCCCAAACTCATCTGTCCATGGGAACTGTCTCAGGATTTTCCCTTCTGTCCTTAACTATTCAACACTGATGACAGTTATTTACAAAATCTGCAGTTAGGGGCTTTAGGAGAAGCACTTCTAAACTTCAGTTCTAGGCCTTTTGAGGAACAGGAAAATATTTTTAGCATTTTTCAAATCAATTTTTTTTCTCTCTTGCTTGCCATGCTTATTCTTTGAACAATAGCACAGGATTCATCTTTGAGTCATACTGAGCTGATTAGTGCTGGTACAGAGACTTGAACCCAGGGCCCTGGGCATTGTCCCTGAGCTTTTTCACTCATGGCCAGTGACCTACCACTTGAGTCATAACCCACTTCCAGCTTTTTGGTGATATCTGGAGATAAGATTCTTGCTAGCTTCAATATCTCAATATTCAGATCTCGGCCTTCTGAGTAGCTAGGAATCCAAGTATGAACCAGCAGTCCCTGGCTCAACTCAACTTGAAGTACAGCAAAAAGAGGAAAGAAGATCTAAATTAGGACTATCACTCCAATAACTTCCATTATAATCAAGGACAGTAAAATGAAGAATTATTGTACATCTAGGAAGTCCTTTGGGCCAGGAGAAAAGTTCCTTTTCTGTCCATAAACACTGATGGCCAGAAATAGGCAAAATAACCAGGCGATGGAGTTTTATTGTCTAATTACCCTGTCCTACATAGTTGAAAGCTATCTACATCCATAGGAAGCAGAACAGAAGAAAAATTCAGAGATCCCTCTTCTTTGCCATGCTTATTCTTTGAATCATAGCACACGATTCATCTTTCAACCATACTCAGCTGAGTGAACACATGAATTGTATCCTACCTGGAGCATGCACAGAGAGGCAATCTGGCGGTATCCTGGACATTTCCTTCATTGGAGTCTCCTTCAAGTATATGTACTTGTAATATTATAAATCTAAACTTCCTAGACATGTCCACCTCAGCTGGCAGAAATAGCCTCAAGTTACTTCTTGTGTAACAGGTCTTTGTTACTACTTACCAAGGTCCCTTTTCTCAGTTCTTCTTCCCTTAGAATGTCTTAATTCATGTTCAACGTAATTCATCATTTGGAGTATCTTACATTCTTTTTTGTTTGTTGTTGTTAGTTTAGTATTTCCATTCAGGACATTTTATCTCTGTGCAAAGACAGGGGTAGAAGCTGACGAGTGGATCAAGATTCTTCGATGGAAGATGGTAAGTTATTATCGTCTTCACATGTCTCAGGCCTGAGACATAACGTGTGAGTGACTTCAACCATACTCCTATTGAGGCAGAGTATTGCCAAGAACCAAAGGAATACTTGCAATACCTGCAAGTCTACTTGCAATAACCTGTTCATTGTTTGGGGGCATGAAAAAAGATCGAGACAGGCTTGCAAAAAGGAAATGGGGTAGCCATAGTCAGGTCTTGGCTCAAAGGCCTTTAAGGTTCGCAGGTTAGTTTGGTTTTGTTGGGAGGACATTTGGGACATGAAGGTCTCTCAGAGACAAACGAACATGCTTCTTGAATGGAAAATCCTTTCAAATTGTCACCTGATAACGCAACTGAATTTAACTTCCCGATGCAAGCAGCACCTTGTCCATCAAGAGGACAAAAGGTATTTTATCTGCTTGCTATATGCTTTTTTTAAGAAGTTTTTTTTTATTGTGAAAATACTGTACAGAGGGGTTACAATCACGAGCAAAGTAATGAGTACATTTCTTATCAAGCATTGTTGCCTCCTCCTTTGTTTTTCCCCTACCATCCTTTCCCTCCCATCGCCACAACTACATTCCCCCCCACCCCAAATTGTAAAGTTCATTTTTCAACATAGTGTCTTGTACATTTCATTGTTGCAATGGGTCAACCTGTATCCCTATTTAAATAATTTGTTTTTTCTCTTCCACTCCCCAAATTATACCAACATCAAATACAGTGAAAACAGAGGTTATACTGTGGGAGAGGGACATACAAAGCAACAAAAAAATCACATGGTACCTTATAAAAAGAGCATGTCAGAGTGCTCATAAGTCACCAATCTGGGGCTCGGAAGGTGGCTCAGTAGTAGAGCGCTTGCCTTGCATATATGAGGCTCTGGGTTTGATTCCTCAGCACCACATAAGCAAAAAAAAAAAGCCGGAAGTGGCACTGTGGCTCAAGTGGTAGAGCGCTAGCCTTGAGCTGAAGAGCCAAGGGACAGTGCCCAGGCCCAGAGTTCAGGCCCCACGACCGGACTCCCTCCCCCTCTCAAAAAAAGAAAGTCTCCAATCTCAGACATTTTTGCATGTATTTACAAGTCTGTGACACTAGACAAGTGCTTGAACTCACAACATACTACAATTTCCTACCAATGCATTAGTCCAGTTTTGTTGCTATAATGAAATACTGGAAGCAAGCTACTTATGAAGGAAATAAGGCTTATTTAATTCAGAGAGTTTCAAGAACATAGAAGTGCATTAGTGAGCTCTGGTGATGACCTGATTGTTGAATACAATGATTGGAATGTGAGAGAGAAAAAATCAACATTGACAAACTGAAAAGAGGGCAACTCAGGGGTCAGGCTCAGTCTTCTGAGGAGTCCACTCACTCTCATGGGGTCAAAGCCTACTCCACATTCATCTCGCAGGGCTGTGCTCCAATGACCTAAAAACCTCACACTATGCTCCTCCCCTTAAAGGTCCAATCACCTCCAATACTGCCACACTGGGAACCAAGTCTTTAAATAAAGACCTTTAAGTACACTTTCAAGACCTACCATCATGAAATGTTTGAGGTTTTCAAAAACAAAGGCATCTTTTTCCGTGTGTATGTGTGTGTAATATATATAATCTACAAGTGTTTCCACAAAATTAAAAATCTAAGGTCTAGGACTATAGCTCAGTGTTAGGAGGCCATGGGTTCAATCCATACACCACTCCCATTTTCCAAAACAAAGAAATCTGAAAAAAATTCTTGTTGAATATCCCTTTGTTACTGGCTTAAAATATTTTTTCAGTTTGAAATCCAAGTTAAAATACCATTCATTTGGAGACTGTTCCAATTCTTCACTGATTTTCAGTGAAATTTTCTATATGAAACTTTGTTCTGATGTGAATTTCTTACTCCTTCTACCTTGCAATTATTCAAATGACACATTATTGAAAATTTAAAATAAAAATATACAGTTTTAAGACTTGTTCCTGTGTAGCTGACTATTCAAAAAATTTCAGGTATTTTCTGTTGTTCTTTACATGCTTAAAACAGTATGTTATAGACATCTTTCCATCTGGACAATTTCACATTTGTAGTCTTCCTTTTGACTCATTTAAATAGCATTGTCATGGTTTACTATAAGGATTAGACTAATTCCCAAATTGCACATGGTACAATTTACACTTCACAATGTCCCCTGAGACTAATACAGAAAACCAGATTACAACTTGGGATGGGTAGAATGATAATTATAGTTGCATGTCTTCCTTACTAACCAACACATTTTACTATCTGAGTTCATTATCTTCAAATCACCCAGTAATCAATGCCCATCTGTTTTATTACAGTCACAAATAAGAAAACAGCTCGACCAAGGGGAAGGCACAATCCGATCTCGGTCCTTCATCTTTAAGTAGATTTTTCTTGCCGAGGAGGGCTCGGACAGGGCAGAGAGGAACGCTCCTGGTGCTGTGGTCCATGGGAGGCTTCAGATGCAAGCTCACTAAGGATTTTCTTTTAAAAAATACATCAAAGCAGATGGTGACTGGGAACATAAATAGTGTTTACAAGACTCATGGAAAGCAGCTGTCCTTGACAATGTCTCCTTGAAACCACCCTGCAATGCTTGCGGTTCTGATGGAAACTGATTAACTACCACTCTGAGGTCTGCTCTGGCTCAAAGCGCACCACAAAGAACCAAGTACCTTTGTTGTCACTCAGGGTGTCCCAAGGTTGTTGACATTAGTTGCCCCCAAGTCACTGGGTCAGCAAAACTAATCTCCAGGCTGTGCTGTGAAGCAGGAAGTAAATAGCCTTTACTGGGGAGGTTCAGACCGTTTTATGAAATGTCTTGAGATAACAAACGTCAAGGATTTCCAAATGAGAGGTTGTTTTTGTTCAAATACAAAAGCCCAAAGTTTCCAAACTAAAAGGAAAAGCTTTGCTGCATTCATTTTTCTCCTTTTAAAAAGCTTAGAAGTCTTTCACTTCTAATGATAATACTATGTATGAAGTAACTGCCCTGTGGACTGTTAGGACAATAAAGGAAAATGAATGCACAATTTTTAATGCGTTTTTACAATTAAGTGCTTTTTAAGAGCTTTCTTTACCGCTTTGGTGAAATGTTTTCAAGAGTAAGAAAAAATTCAAGCATCACTCCTACAATCGTAGCTACTTAGGAGGCTGAGATCTAAGGCTTTCTCAGTTCAAAGCCAGCAAAGGCAGCAAAGTCTGAGACTCATCTCCTATTAACCAGCAAAAAGCTGGAAGCAAAGTTGTTGCTCAAGAGGTAGTGTGATAGCCTTGGGCAAAAAAAATAGTCTAGGGGCAGCACCCCGGCACTGAGTTCAATAACTTAATAAAATTTTAATAAGCGTACTTGTAAGCACTAAGTTATCTTTTCCTGGCATTTCTCCAGATGTATTGAAAAAGAATTCTGAAAACAACAACAACAAAAAAAAAACTGTGTTATAACCTTGTCCCCAGAATTAGCTCTGTAGGTTAACTCTATCAGCATACAGGCCTGCCTTACTAAAGAGCAACATTGGGAGGAAGTAACACTAAACATGTACATGAAATACAAACACCACACTGCATAGCCTTTGCAAACCAGAGTAGGAAGACTGAAATGGGAATGAAATACTGATGTCCAATGTTTATGAACAGATTCTCTATTATTAATACTGTTTTTAAAGGTTTGAAGGGAGAGAAAAAGTAACACACACACACACACACAAAACCCAAGAATTAGATTTCAAGTCTAAAATACTGTTCTTTAGGTGCAAAGGGATAATGTGTTAGCTTTGTCAGTCACTGCAACCAAAATACCTGAGAGACCACGTTCAAGGGAGGTACTGTTTATTTTGGCTTCTTCTTTTGGAGGTTTCAGACCATGGCAGGAGGTGGGAACATGGTAGATCAGAACAACCCTCACTGTGGTAGTCAGGAAGCAGACCAGAGGCAAGGACACAGGAGAGGCAAGAGCAAGACACAGACCACTAGTGACCTGGTTCTTTCAACTGGGCTCACCTTCCACAGTCCCAACAGTCTACACAAATTTTGAATCCACTGATGGATTAGGCCACTGTTTAGGTCAAAGTCCTTCAGTTCTAATCATCTGCCTCAGAGATACACCCAGTGGCGTACTTTACTACCCCAGTAGTGTTTCTACATCCAATCAAATGGACAAGCAAGATTAACCATCACAGATGCCTTGCTAAAGAACTTCCTTGTATTATCTAAACCGCTAGGCCAGAAACTCCAGTACATTTCTGTTTATTTCAACAGGGCTTTCCAGCTGGGGATGTGGGTCCAGTGGTAAAGCACTTGCCTGCCAATCACATGGTGCTGACTCAATCACTTCCTAGCACCACAAAAGGTTTTCAAATGTATCTTGGTACAGTTTGTATTATATGTAATAATGCAAATGTCAAGTTGATGGTGTAAGGTTTGCAAAAGGAAGAAGTTACAAATAAGCCCTTGAGATGGATGGTTTGGTTTTATTGTCTTAGAAACACTGGTGTTTTTTGTGTATGTAGGGTAATAATTGTTTTGCCATTCTGTAAAATACGTTTATTTATACTCTTGCTTCTGTTTAGCAAATAAAAAGAACTTAATTTTGCCCACAAAATTGCTGTTCAAACATCTTATTATTTGTCATTTAAAAGAAATAGCCTGATTAATACCATAAATAACAACAGTGCTTCAAACTAGGATCCACGAAGGATCAGAAATTGAAAAAATTATACTCTATATATATTAAAAAATATATTAAAAAAATTATACTCTATATATATTAAACTTTCATCAGAATAAACTTCCTCCATTGCCCTTTCCACATAACTCCTACACTTCTATTATTCAAAATTGGGCTGTTTCTTATACAGTCTATGATAGAGGATGACATTTCATTTTTTAAAACTTTCTGACCTACCAGAGTCTGAAATTTTGTAAAATTCAATAAAAATTATTAGAAAAATGAAATAAAAGATACAAGTATCACAATCCCTTTTTTATTATGAGATTTAAGATATTGAAAGTTACCTTGTGTCAAACTGGTAGGTTGTTCTTTAAAAAAAAAAAATCAGCTTGCACTTGCTAAGAACCATGTTCAGAACAGCCCAAGCAGTGGGCTACATCTTGACTAGCACAGGTCTAGCTAACTGGCAGGTAAAATAAGTGTCTTGCAAAGGAATCTACCTGAAGGTAGACAGACTTGGGATGCAAATGTTTTGTTAGGGAATATGGATTGCCCAGGCCAGACCTCGATTTTTGGATTCTCTTATCTCAGCTTATAGCTTAAAGTCTATACAATTGCTGCCATCTGCAAATAAAAACTGGGTCACTTCATCCCTAAAATACCTTCCTATTTCATGCATTATATTGTTGGGAACAAGTTCCAGAACATCATTAAGTAATAACATCAATAAATAATAATACATAAAAACAATGGGAATTCTAGACTTTTACAGGTGTGTCTAAGGTTTATTAGGTTGTAGCAATTTATGTTTACAGCTCCCAGCATATAAAACACCATCTCCTGTACTTTTTTTTGTAACTGTTTCTAATTTTATGCTTATTTTGTACTCTAGGTACCCTCTGTACAGCTTTACCATAAATCTTTCTATACTTTCTTCCTTTACTAAACTGGTAGTTCTTTAAAGGAAGATAGTAGCACAATTACTCTTATTTGTATAGAAAAATGGGAGGAAGGAAAGTGGCATGTTTGGTTGACTGTCTCATTACCAACCACTAGGGACACCAATCCCATAGTCCATGTGAAAGCAGCCCTGGAGCACAGAACTACCATGTGAACAGTATTGAAGACTGTGTACTATGCTAGCACTGGTGATCACACAGAGAAGGTGCTCGATGCGTATATATATACTGAATTAACAGGAGACAGGAAAGTAACCGCTGGAATGATCTACAGACTGAATTCCTGAGCCTAAAATATATTCTAGAACTGTGAAGTTAGGCCCAAAATGAGGTTTATGTTCTGACATTATACAAAAAGAGTAAAACAATCTCCAAACAAATTCCTACAAGAAACATTCAAGACTCATTATGTGGTTGAAAGTGGATAAAGTCAATTAAGTCTATAAAATACCTTGGTAGAAGTCTGAAATGAAAAAGATCTGTACAGTGCTCAAACTGTATTTTTAAAAATACTATTTTATTTATACCCATGTATGAAAAAATGGCTAAAACTATCACATTTATATACATACTGAAAACAGGATTCAGTAACAAGTCATATTTAAATTCTATAAAGAACAATCATTAAAATACTGATTGGTTATAGAGAGCAGAGTAGGAAGAAAAGAGTAAGCTATAATTTTCCTTTTCATTAAAGAGAAGCACCCTCTGAAAAAACTCATTAGTGACACATATCTACACTGCAAAGTAAATATATATAAAGTTAGTGATTGTACTGATTTTTATTACTTTTACTAAGCCATTTTATCTTCTCATACTCAGTGCAAATAAAACACAACAGAAGAAAAATATGTCCTTGTTATTATTCACAATAAGAGGGTCTGTTGTGCCCTTGCAGTCTGGGAGTCCTGAATGATAGAGAGCACTCGCTGGCTCATGTGGACCAATGCACCATTTTGATTCTGATCCACTGAACAGGATCCCATCCATATGTGGCGACTGCACTAACTCCACAGGAGCTGTGACAGACTGAACCAGTTCAGATTATCCCTATTATCCCCAGATCTTGCTAAAGAAAAGACCTTACAAAGTAAATGTAATACCTGATCTGTCTATAAATTACACCTACAGGCTGATTCTTTAGTATAAGGTGGAAAAAGGGGTTCTTTCTTACATACATACAGAGAAAAGTATTACTGTTGTCTAAAGATTGCTAGATAGACTTGTTTTTATAACAAGATAAGGTATACATCAAAACCATCATAAGATTAAGAAACTTCCACAACTTTGATCAATTCTTCAAACAATGGAGCAAGTTCCTTTTCTAGGCTGACAATTAGCCCTAAAACAAAGAGATTTAAAATATATATTAGAAACATTTCCCTGAAAGTCATTTTAGGCTCTTGTCCAAAATTTAATTACTAGTTTGTTCCCAACATCAAAAATGAGATACTATAATTCTGAGTAAAGCAGGCAAAATTATGAAGTTTATTTTCATAATCTATTATTAAAGGAGATGGATGACTGCCTAGCAAGTCAGTATTGCCAAATTAAAAAAAAGTAAATTGACAAACTATAAGCCTCTGTTTTAGTAGAAACAGAAAGATTTACATGTATGTAATAATTTGTTAAGGGGTTTGAAAGCAAAATCATCTCACTTTCAAAATATGCATTAGATTTTTATAAACACACTTTTCAAAGCAAATTTTAACCCTGTATCAAGAAGTGAATCAGTTTTTCTCAATATTGAGCAAATAAAATCAGAAAATTATAATTTTGACAAATCTAAAACAAAAATGGGTCATTCAAATGAACAAGAAAATTTTGATGAATGGTAGAGTATAAAACATATTTACATATAAAAAAGGAAGATTAATAATGAATCTATGACAAACACTAGAAATTAGTATATCTACCTTCTCCTAAGTTGACCAGAGTGAAAGTTATATTCCTTAGTGTTCTTTGTTCCAAATAATAAAGATCTTCCTCTGTTTTACAGTATTAAAAAACATTTAGACTGTCAAGGGAGGGTTCTATAGACTACAATGTACTTCTGAATATTCCCATAGTACGTAACAGCTAGTGATTTAATACATTATGATCAGGGTGAGCTTTATCCCAATGTCAGTACAATTTGTATACAATTTGCCCATGTCATCAAATATAAACCAATTTTTTGAAACTTAGGTATGAAAAGTGGTCTTCAGTGACCTACTTAGCTTGAAGACACAAAGTAGAAGGAATTTGTCATAGCTCTCAACTCAATGTGAAAGTGACAGATCTCTAAAGAAAAAAATCCTACTTTGTCTATTGTCTAAGAGGAAGCAAATGTACTACCACAATACAATTGAATACTGTCATCTTTTACACACAAATCCCCAAGAAGGGGGAGAGAATGAGATTTTACTATCACCAGAAAACTGGAAGTGGTGATGTGGCTCAAAGTAGTAGCGACAGAGCCTAGATGCTGAGCTCAAACACCATAACTAGGATCACTCAAAATAACACTGAATTTCCCTTGTTCCTATTTCAAAAAGATGTCCATACATTGTCTCATCAACTGGAAATAGGCCCATGAGATGGAGAAAGCAAGTATTACTCCATTTTCTAGCTATATAACCAGGAAGATGGAGAAAAGCCACACATTCAAACTTTCTCACAGCATATCTATTATTATACCAGATAATAGGGTAAAGAATTAACAGCTGTACTTAAAGTAATTAAAACATACCTGTGTTGGCATTGCTACTGGCTATGAAACTCACCACAAGAGGTAAACGATTGAACTGAACTACCTAAAAAGAAAGTAAGATGTAATTAACATGTTATATTGTGAAAAGGTAATATTACCTACCTGAAGTTTTTTTAGTCTTTCAGAAACTTTTAAATAGCCATTATTATTAGTCTAAAATAATGGTATTACACCACGAAATATGAAGAAGTTGAAGGCAAGCACTTTCCTAAAACAGAAATACTGAAAGTGGAATCATGTCTGCTTTTTCTTTTAAGCTCTAAAGCCATGTGTCAGTTTATATAGTAAAGGTCAACGATAGTCCGTCCAAATGTGTTGAATAGAAAATTCTAGATATGATTCCTAAGTTTTAAATCACACGGCACTCAGCATGAGAAACACTGTGCTGTGAGTTCTCCTTTGGTATATTTATACCGCATATGCTGTTAAGACACATTAGCCACTTGGCAAACACCTTGGTTATCAGAATAACTGTCACAGCATTGCAGGGCTGTGTTCAAGTCACCCTTATTAATAATGGCATGCAAGCGCAGGAAGAGTAATGTCTTTATATCCAGCACATATACAGCCACAAAGCTCCTTTAAGTGACAATTCTCAATAAGAAAATAAAAATCCTATGCCGAGGATGCTAAAATCTGGTATTGGTAAATTTCTTATTGTAACCCAGTTTCAAAATCAAACTTTACCATAAGTTTGTAAGTGTAGGAAAAAAACAGCACGTTAGATTTGATACCATCTGAGTTTCAGGCATCCACTGGGGTCTAGAACAAATCCCCCATGAATAAAGGGGAACTAGGACAGCTTTATCTTCCATGTGTCATTATGAATTAAGTATCTAAACAACTTCAACCTAACTCTTATGGTAAAGTCAGTTTGGTTTCTTATTACATGTTAAAAATATCTAACTTAAAAAAGAAATTGTCACTATGTATTATCAGTGGTACACTCCAAAAAATGTCACTTTAAAGAAAAGGAATCAAAAGCCGGGCATCAGTGGCTCACGCCTGTAATCCTAGCTACTCAGGAGGCTGAGATCTGAGGATCACGGTTCAAAGCCAGCCCGGACTGGAAAGTCTTTGAGACAGACTCTTATCTCCAAGCTCAAGTGGTAGAGTGCTAGCCTTGAGCTGAAGAGCTGAGGGCCAGCGCCCAGGCCCAGGTTCAAGCCCACAAAAAGAAAAGAAAAAAGAAAAAGGATGTCATTCTTCTAAGAACACGTAGCTAGAGATCAAGAGATAATCTAATAATTCACTTCTTCCTCACAAATAAAAACCTCATTTGTTATATATGCATTCCAAACGAAATAAACAACAATTTTAAGTAGTCTGTCATCTGACTCTCAAAAAAATGTTTTATCTGCCACAATAAGAGTGTGGCCTTTGAGAATCTATTGTCTGAAATCTCATCAGCAGGTAACGGCACCATCTGCTGGAGTGAATGGAGAGCTAACTAACCCTTCTTAGGATATTATGTGCTTTACTTTGAAGTGTCTTAAGTACTTTTCCATAGAAACAAGGAAAATCACCCATTTTAGCATAATCAATTTCAAGGCTAAAATTTTAAACTTTCATCCTTTCGAAAGTTAAAATTTAGAATTGTAACAAAAGCTTTGCATTAAGGATATAAAAATAGTAACTGAAATAAGCAAATCATCTAATAATTATGAACTTACCTGGTAGGTGTTATAGTAACAGATGATGCTTTTATTCTTTGAAAGTCCAAGTTTGCTCCCTTGGTCTGTTGCAAGGGCAAAAGTAGAGAGGAAACCAGGTCGCAAAGCATGTTCGGGAGCATTATCATTAGCCACTGGAAGAGTAAATGATTTAAATAAAAATTATACTGAAAAGATGATAGAGACAAGTTTAAGGACATCTTTATTAAAAATAAGCACAACATTCGGTTTCACAATATTGAAGTCACGATATCTAACTCATTGGATCTCATCAATTTAAATCGGAAGTTTAGTAATTAGGAGCATGAATATAGCTCAGTGATAGAATACTTGCTTATTATGTGCAACGGCTTTAGTTTCTATCTCTGGCATGACAAACCAAATGAAGTTATTTAATCATGATAATAATTGTTACAATATCTCAATATAACTAAGACTATCCATGTTGATCATACCAGAAGGTGGAAATAATGAATATACTGAGTCTACATTTATCCTGTAATATCATGTATACTTAACAATAATAAAAGCTGAAAATCAGGCAAAAACTTATTGGATTCTGGTCGACTAAGTAATTCTGAATATAAAAGGTTTTAAGACACTGAAATACCACCTCACTCTAGCCAGGGCAGCTATCATCAAGCATACAACAAATGTTGGCAAGGATATGGGAAAAAGGAACACGAATAAATTGTTGTTAGGAATATAAACTAGTGTAATCACTATGGAAATCAGTATACAGGTTCCTCAAAAATCTAAAATGAGAACTATCTTATGATACTAAAATACCACTCTTCAGTCATTTGTTCAAAGGAACATAAGTCAGGATATAACAGAGGAACCTACATGTTCATGGTCATTGCAGCACTATTCACAATAGCCAAGCTAGGAAACAGCACAGACGCCCTACAACTGAGAAATAAAGAAATTTTGTATATGTATGTGTATGCATACACAATGAAGTACTATATATCCCTAATCTGTAATCCATCATATTAAGTGAAGCCAGGTTCAAGAAGACAAAAGTCACATGGTTTCCCTTATATGTGATACCAGACCTAAAATATAAACATATACCTAGCACTTACAGGAAATGTATGTGTATGTGCTTATTATCAAAATGCATTATAAACGTGTGTGAAGAGAGAACATGGAAACAATAAGATGGACTTGGGAAGAGAGGGGAGTTAGGAAGAATGATGGAGGGGGTGACTAAAATCAAGATGTATGCAAAGATGGACATGTTAAAATGAAAGTCCCTTATATAACTATATAAACATTATATTATATACTTACATAAACATTTAAAAAATTGATTTAAGAAAGTGAAACAGTATATGATGAACCAAATAAGAGAGCCATCCTAAAACTACTTGCAATATTAACTTTAAAAGATACACATTTATATACAAACAACACACACACAGGTAACGGTACACGGATATAACAAGTATCTCTCTAACTATCTGCTCATTTTCATCACCTAGATATAGGTTTATATTACACCGTATTAAACCTAGATAGTTTATATTATACCATAAATATGTTCAATAGAAACCTGGGCCTGTGGGGCTGGGAAGGTGGCTCAGTGGTAGAGCGCTTGCCTTGCATGCATGAGGCCCTGGGTTCGATTCCTCAGAACCACATAAGCAAAAACAAAGCCGGAAGTGCTGCTCTGGCTCAAGTGGTAGTAAGCAAAAAGAAAGCCGGAAGAGCTGCTCTGGCTCAAGTGGTAGTAAGCAAAAAGAAAGCCAGAAGTGCTGCTCTGGCTTAAGTGGTAGAGCGCTAGCCTTGAGCTGAAGAGCTGAGGGACAGCGCCCAGGTCCAGAATTCAGGCCCCACGACTGGACGCCCCCACCCAAAAAAAAAAGAAAAAAAGAAACCTGGGCCTGTAATAAATCTAATGAATCTGAAATTCTAGAAGCAAACATTTCCTTCAAAACCATGACTATCTTTGTTAAATAAGGATGATATTCTTGCCTTTTGCACTATCTAGATGTAAATGCACACTTTTTTAGCTCAAAGCAAACAAGGTCTTTGCATTCAGGTACTCAGCTTTACCTTTGATAACAGGTACTCCATCTCTATCCGACACAACAATAGCATGGAGTCCTTCAACACTACGAAGACAAAAAGTTAAATATTATAAAATATTTCACTTTCTTAAAGAATGTTCCTCAGAATTATTATGCACATTTCTATAAAACTATCAGATAACAATTATTTATAATTATGCTTTTGTAACTCAAATGAAACAAATGTATATTGCAGATTGACACTACTCTTTTCAGAGATATACAGTTTACTGATGAAGATCTAAAAACATCATTATTTTGCACTAAAATTGCTAATCCCATGATTGCCAAAAACAGACAAGGTTACTGACAGTGGTTATAGTGACAGAAAACCAGAGAAAAAGTGTGTGAGTGTGTGTGTGTGTGTAGAGAGAGAGAGAGCGAGAGAGAGAACCTTTTTCCTTTTTTCTCATTCTTTCCAATATTGAGTGCCTAGTATTTACAGCACTTGATACTTCATGATGCTCTGATAAGCAAAAACCATCACTGACTTGACAAAATTTACCATCTAAGCTGAATGCATATCAACGGAATGATTGCATGATAACAAAGGTAAGGCCACAGCTGTGGGAAAGTGCCATTATGAGATCCATGGGAACATGAGAGGCTACAAAAGAGGGGATTGAGGCAGGCAGATGGGTCAGAGAAGGCTTCCCCAGAAGATGCTATCTCAGCAGAGATCTTATGGCAGCCAGTAATAGAAGAAGAGTGGGAAGATCATTCTAGGCTATCACAACATGTTGGACAGCAAGAAGGAAAGCCCTCGGCTGCACTTACACAACAAGCATTAGGTTGAAATGGTCAAAGCTGTGAAGTTAGAAAGACCTAATGTTTAGGCTCAGCTGCATAATGCTTGTAAAGCATATGCTGGTAAAAGTTATGTCAAAGCTGTGAAGTTAGAAAGACCTAATGTCTAGGCTCAGCTGCATAATGCTTGTAAAGCATAGGCTGGTAGAAGTTATGTTAAAAAAAAGTTTACTGAGTAACAGTAGTGGTTTCAATTGTGGATACTGACAATGACATAATTTATCACTGCACTTTAAGCACTAAACCATCAATGTAGTTAAACACAATAGTTTAAGTAGTTGGAAAATTAGTGGTTAACAAATATACACTTCAGAATTTAATGTGTTAACAACCACAATGAGGAAATATTCCCCCAAATTTAGTACTTACACAAAGCCTTTTTAATTATCTGTAAAGCACAACTCAGAGATTTTTATTTATTTGTTTTTTCGTTGGTCACTGGGCTTGAACTCTGGACCTGGGCACTGCTCCTGAGTTTTTCAGCTCAAGGCTAATGCTCTACCACTTTGAGCCATAGCACCATGTCTGCTTTTCTGGTGGTTAAGTGGAGATCAAGAGTTTCACAGACTTTCCTGCCCGGGCTGGCTTTGAATCACGATCCTCAAATCTCAGACTCACTTTAGTAACTAGGCACCCAGCTGTCAGAGCTGTTTAATGCTCTTACTATACCCTGGATTTACACCTTCCTGTGTCTGCCTTAATGTTTTAACTTAAAGCAGTAACTGTACAATTCATATTTACATGTTAGTTTGCTGAAATTAAATTTTTAAAAAAATCCTAATCACCAGATATTAGTGGCTCATGCCAGTACTCCCAGCTACTCAAGTGGCTGAGAGCTAGAAGCAGAGGTATGGCTTAAGTAGAAGACGACCAGCCTTAAGCCAAAAAGCTCAGGGACAGTGCCCAAGCCCCAAGTTCAAGCCCTAGGACACGGACGGACGGACGGACGGACGGACGGACACACACACACACACACACGCACACGCACACGCACGCACACAAGCTAACAAATAAACTATAATAGACTCAGTCAATATGAAAAAAGAAAAGTTCCTTTTCTGCCATTACATTTTCCCAAATATCTTCTCTTTTTCTTCTTGTGGTGGTAGGGATCAAAACCTTACATGTGTTTGGTAAGTGGTCTACCACTAAGCAGGTAGCTAAACTTTACAATACTCTTAAATTGAATCTATCTCTCAGATTAGCACAACCTACATGATTTCCCCCTTTCATTTAAAAGATAAAACATCATGAAGAAACAAGAATTTATTTTCAACTATTTTTATTAAACATTAGAGCTACTCAAATAGGCAGGACAAGAACATAGGGTAAACAAGTTTTATTGACATAAATGAGAAAAATGGTTGTGATGAAATTGTCCCAGAGAAAGTGACACTGACATAAAGAATGTACATTAAGTGAAATCTAGGAGCTATTTCACAACATCAATACACAGAATTAGTATCAGCTTTCATTCCTCTATGTTAACTCCAAGTTTAAATGTTTTGAAAAGTTTCAAAGATCTGAAGACAAATGTTATTTTCCCCCACTGATTACTAAAATTCCTTTGCAGTTTCAACTTTTAAGGTCATTTCTATGGTTCTAAATCAGTTATGACTATCTTACTCCTGATTTTTAGAATTAGTTTGTCTATAATTTGACAATTTTAGGAAGAGACTATAAATAAGCATGACATTAACACGAAATCAATAATAGCTATTCACATACTTCAAGTTTTCCTATTCAAAATAGAAGAAACATATGTAATAATAAAACTATAAAATAGTATAATTAATTTCCAGTGATCTGTAATCAGTGTAAAGACACAGCTAATAGGTAAAGCACAAAAAAATAAGTCAAGCAAAAATCCAAACAAGAGGATGTTCCCCACTGTAATCCCAGCTACCTGGGAGGGAGAGATAGAATGGGGGTCCAAGGCTAGCCTGGGCCCAAGTACAAGACATTGTCTAAAAAACAGCTAAAGTAATAAATGCTAGGGGTATCAAGAGGCAGTCTAGAAAGACACATCTGAGAGACTGCTATCCCTAGATAACTAGCTAAAAAAAGAAGCAGAAGTGATGAAAGTGGTAGAGAGGGTCATGAGTGGAAAAGCGAGCAAAAAAGTTGAGTGTGAGAAAAAAAAAGTGAATCAAGAGCTCTCCAGGACTTGAAATTAAGCCATAGTACTGGAGGGGGAAAACAAACAGGTGTCTCTTAAATTGTAGAATTCTTGCCTAACAAGCATGAGGCTCTGAATTCAAATCCTTTTACTGCAAAGGAAGAAGTTTTTCTTTCCTCACTATAAAAATAAACTAACATCCACAACCTTCTATATAGTTTCACATGTGGAAAATAAGAAAAAAGGATCTCATCAAAATCATTCTGCTTTATTATCTCAACATTTATTCAGTTGAATTCTGAACCATTTCATCTTAGAATGTGAAAATGCATGCTTTAAGGATTTTGTTTTGATTTGTTGGTCGTGGGGCCTTAACTCTGGGCTGGGGGCTGTTCCTCAGGTTTTCAGCTCAAGGCTAGCGCTCTACCACTTGAGCCACAGTGCCACTTCCAGTTTTTTCTGCTTCTGTGGTGCTGAGGAATCGAACCCAGGGCCTCATGCATGCAAGGGGAGCACTCTATCACTGAGCCACCCTCCCAGCTCCGATGCTTCAAGTTTTATATCTCTCTTTCATGTCCTTAACTCTCAGAAATCGAATTGTTTGAAAGTTATGAGTGCAGACAAAAGTGGCACTTGTCATAAACTAAATGTGAATTTAATTCAAGGGACATGTCCTCTAGTAAAATTTGTAGAAGGGAAGTGTTTGTTAACCACAACACAAGAGCCTTTCTAAAATCGTACGTAAATAGACTATGGTAGACAAAAGGAAGTCTTGTGGATATTCAAGTGTGAATAGCCGTCTGAAACTAGTGTTCTTGATTATGTTGACTCTGCCATTAAGACACGTTCTTAATAATTTTCCTCCTTAAAATTACTCTATCAACTTCAAAGTATAATACAGCTATCTGCTATGACAGTATATTTTAGAGAATTTAATAATTAAAAAATCTGAATTCCAGTCTCAAGCATGCATTCGCTGTTTAACCTTAGGCAAATCACATACCTTCCTTAGGCCTATGATAGTTATCTACAAATTTGAAGACCATCACTTATCATATCCACGGTTATGTTACTTAAAAAATGCTAATTTCGCATAGTATACACAAATGAGTCTAAAGAGGAATAACAAAATACCTCATAAAAGTAGCATGTTATAAAACTGTTAATTATTCTAAATAATTGTAACAATATAAATTTTTATATACTGAATAAGCTTCTTACCTTGGTAACTTCTTATACAGGAATCGCTTTAGGTCCTGCAAGAGAGTATTAAAAATTTTTTTTTAATATGCCTCTCTCTGCTTTCTTAATCCTATCCTATTTTTTAGGGATGTTAAGTCACCACTCACAACTTTTCTTACTGTATTTTATCTTTCTGTTTTGGATGTTTACTGGTATGAATTGGAGCAAGTTAACTAACCTTTTCTTCTAAGTCTCAGATTCAATATCAGTTCAATAGAGATAATCATAGAATTTACAGCATGACACTGCTGGTAAAATTTATTGAGATGTATTATTAGCATACCTGGAAATAGGAAACACAAAATCATTTTAGCTGTAAAAATTAGATTGTACTTTTCATAATGCTTTACAGTCTGTGGCTAATGTAATCACTTAAGAATATATTAAGCTTTTTCCATGTCCATAAACAGACATTTAACCATTTTTTAAAAAGAGATAAAAGGCTCTCTATGTATCCTTCATTGGCCCTGAACTACTATGTAAGCCAGGGTGACCTTATACTCTTAAGTCCTAAGCCTCCCAAACACAAGCCTGAATCACTTATTTTTCAGTACTAAGTTTTGAAGTCAGGGCCCTGCACTTGCCAGGCAACTGCTCTACCACTTGAGCATCCCCACCCTCTACCATTATTTCTAATGGTACTAAGTTGATTAACTTTTCTAAGATACAGTTTCTTCACATGACTAAAGATCAAATGAAAATGTCAACGATTTAACCTGGAAGTAAAGAACCAAAACCTCTTAAATGGGCATTTCACTGGCAATCCAGGTATCAATTTTTTTTTCTTACCCAGCACTGTATTTTTATTATCTGCAAATAGTTATACAAAGGAGTTGTCATGTTCCGGTATCAATTATGACCCCCTACTTCAAAGAATCAGAGTCTGTTCTCCAACTGATAATTTCTTGTACCGCCTCTATCTTCTGCTCTCATCTTAAACACCTACATACACAAACCACTCATGTTGTTAGAAGAGCCATCTGGGTTAGGAATCATTTCAGATTGCTACCACGAACCTAATGAAGACAAGTATGACCACTTGCTGAAAAAAGAAAATGATTCAGAGCATTTGACCTACTGAACCACATAACGGTCAGAAAACTATTGTTTCAAATTTCCAGTGCCAAATACACTGTTTCTCTTCTGTCCCAACTGGATTAGGAGACGAGAAGAACACACTCTTCTCAACCTCAGGCACCTTCTAGGTCTTCCACACCCACTGCGGACAGCAACTCCGGACCATGACAACCCACTCAGACTTGGGTATCCCACAAAAGACCCCCGAGGAAATAACTAATGCGGGGTGGGGTGGGGGGACGGGGAGCGGGACAAGGAGTAAAAGAGAAACAGGTCTACCTCTTCCAACCCGCCTGCCCTCCCCGGCCTCTAGGGTGGGGGTGTCAACTCACATCCGCCATGACGAACCCCTTTCCCTCGCAGGATCAATCTTGCAAGCCTGGAAGAGAAACTCCCGGTGACTCTCCCCTCTCCCGCCCCCAGCCCGGTCGGGGGACAGGGCCGCGGGTCAGAGGGGATCGGGCGCGCGGGTCGGGGGGTCGGGCCGCGGGGG